TTTCCGACGTGCCACCCGTCACATCATGGCAAGGGGCACTGGACTATGGCTTTGCTTTCCCTTTTCCCTGTTCCAGGGCTGGGCAGGAGCTCTGGTTGGCAGGTCTGCACTCCCTGTTGTGGCTGAAGAATTCACTGTCAGCTTTTTCCCCCCATTTTTCCTGTTTCTGGGGAAAGCAGCAAGCACCTTGCCCTGAGTCACGTCATCATCAGGGGATATGGAGTGGTGCAGGATGAGCGCTGTGCTCCCGCTGCAATAGAGCCCTGGATCTCACTCCCGTTTGGGGAGAAATACAAGGGCTAGTCAAGGCAGCAGATTCAGGAGGTTTAGAACTGGACCTCGCAAGCTATTAATTACTGTATTAAAAGAATTTTCCGTATTATCCGACATTTCCTTTATCCGACCATCCTCCGGTCCCATTTAGGTCAGATAATCGAGACTCTACTGTACTTCTGACAGTATTAGAAGGTAAGCAGATTTCATCCATCCTATTCTTCTTTGAATTGTGGTTTTAACCGGCTTTCAGCAAGGAAAGAAACCACCTGCAGATACACTAAGAAATTACATTTCTTTAACTTTAGATTTGGAATAAGTGTAATGAGTGTGTGTATATAATTAGGCAATGACAAAGAGCAAAGAAGCAAAATAAATATATTTAGTAAAAATAAAAACAGGCAGAAAAAAAAGTACAGCAACATGGCAAAATACATCTGATACAAGAAATCTGTAATTCTTGGGCTCCAGAGAGCTTATCCCACACTAGATGGAAACAGAACTCCTCCTTCCATAGAGAGACCTGTGTTAGTGTCAACTATTCTCAATCCTCTATTGGCATCCCTCCCCATGCCCCACTGCTGACTTGCACTTCTAAAGAGAAGATATTCAATTCCTACATGTATAAAGAGCACAGGAGAACAGGAAACCTCAAGATAGTTTTGACTCCTCCACAACATGACAGAAACCTTACACTGAAGTTTAAGGAGGGTGACAGTTACTTGGCATCTTGATTCCCAGATCATTTTGTCTCTGTCATAGTCCTGATCACATAAATCATGTCAGGAGGACACATTTGCCCCAAAAAATAGCATCAGCCTTCACACATTCCTGCAATAAGTCATTTCTTTAGCACAGGATAGTTTACATTAATAAATACTACTTCCCAAGGGGTAGGGTGTCCTGTGTTCCCCTTATATTAAACTGAAGGTTTTTCTGCCCCATCAAATGCAGGGCAGAATGGTCTATGATTTGTCATAAAATCCCTAAATGCACAAGTCTTTTGGAAACCTCATAAAAACAGTAAAATGCTGAGGCTGCCTCTTTGTTTTTAATGTTAATCAACCAGAACTATACAAGGATCAGGACCTATTTTTATCATTAATGTCAAAGTAATTAGCAGAATGAAGTTTCACGTGTCTGGCTGTGGCAGGCAAAAGAGCGGAAGTGAGTTTACATTTCTCTCCTTAGAAGCAGGAGAAACACAGACACTAGTACATTCATATACATGGACAGAGAAATTCTATTCCAGATAAATGGGGTTTTTTCCCCCTCTCACACAGTCAAATGGCTAACAAAAATAACTCAAGTATACAGGTCAATGAAAACAGAGGTTCACAGTCAGGTGCTTGTAAAATGGAGGCAAGATTTCTTCACCAGCTCCTCAGTGAGGATTTTCTTTGCTGTAAGGCTAGTGTCCAAGCTGAACAATATTTTGTAAACAGTAAAAATATGTAGATACAATGTTTCCCCTCTTCCTGCCTTGTGTTTTGCCACAGATGCTACTTCTGCACCAGGCTAACAGGATATCCCACTAACTCAAATTGCAGTAGCTTTTGGCAGAGATTGACTAAGTTTTTGAAGTTATCGTTCCTGGATAGCCTCATTTCCCACCTCATTTAAGCAAGCCAAGGCCTAGAGACAAACCAACTAAGATGCGTTTTGAGCAAGTATAGCACTGATTAGGGCTGACACTTGGGCATTTCACTATTTTCCATCTCTGACTACATCAACAGAGTAGTCAGGGCTCCAGCATCCCAGCCTACATTGAACTGAGCACACTAGGATCAAAGGGCAGTACACATACAATCAGCCAAGTGTAACTGCGCACTGCCACAACGGCAAGCTGCCATATAAAACTGGACTAGGAAAACCCACCTTAAACTGGCCCTGTACTGGTGTGTTAAGTGCATCTCTGCTATCTTTTCGATGGAATGGCAGGTCTGCTCAAATACCTATCCATTCTCTCCACTAGCTGAAATAAAGGAAATTTGACTAGGCGTAACTCAACCCAGCAGACATGCAATGGAGCATGCAGGGAATCCAGAACGTTATGCTACTGAGCAGGGTCATAAGTGATTGTAGAAATTAAAGTTTGTATGTAAATCTACTTAGCATGACAAGCATTAGTTATCCCCACAGTTCCATTTTGTATGCTTTAGAGGGCCAAGAAATTATACATTTATTACAAAAACAATGCTCTGGGAAGCAGAATTCTTCATCTGCAGCTCAAATTCCAGGCTGTTCAATGCCTATCTTTCCAAACACCCAATCCATTGGCCTCTGATGGCAATAGATCCAAACACTCCTAGGCTGGTCCTGCCTGGCTCAGGCACGCCAATCTGCAATACAGGTGTTCAGATACTGTAGATATCATAGATATCATCGTAGTCAGAGTCCTCCTCAAAGTCATCACTGTCATAACTGCTCATCGACAAGATGGAATAGATAGAAGAGATGATACTGCTCTCACTGTCTGTGGCTGGGTTCACTAAGACATCCTGTTTCTCTGCATTCAAAACATACACAATAGTTAGCTGGTGGCTAGATTACAGTCAGACCTAATTACTAGAGGTCTCTTTGAAACTTTAGTACTTCTTACTGCTACCCAGCACACATTACAGTAAGTTTTTCAAACTGTAGGTTCAGAGACCATCTGGGTGAAGCTTGTCTTTTCTATTTATAAATTTTGAAAAGACATGAATGGAATTTTATTTCCAATTTTTGTATGTTTATTCCAGTTCCAACAATGCAGCAAGAATAGCACTAAGAGCAAGGAGACATTCTCTTCACTTATTAATGCTCTCCCTGTTGGCACCCAACCAAAAACTCCCTTGCTGGTACCAATCAATGTGGAGTCGCCAGAGAAAACTGCAGCAGCTGGCTACCTCGGGGCCTTATTAGGAAGGAGGTTGAAAAGGAAAAAAATTGGAGATAGTGGCATCAAGGTGCAAAAAAGGCTATGGAGGACTACAAGGACTCCACTCAAGTATCTGGAGAATAAGAGCGCCTTGGGACAGGATTTGTTTGCAGTTAATTATTTGCAGAGGCCCTAATCTTTGACTGGCATTCCTAGGTGCTTTTGGAATATAACTAATCATTCCCCGTGGAGCCTGTCTGCTAGCCTATTCCCTCCTGGAATCCACGTATAACGAGCTTATTCCTGTTTCAGTCAGTCTTTCCACCTCTGCATAGAAACAAGCTCATCCATCTCACAGAAATGTGTCGAAATAAAGCTATTATAAAGCTTTCTTTGCCTTAGTATTCTATTAATAGTTAAACACTGTATCTGGCTCACATGAAAGTGGGGTCTGAGCAGAGGATAAAATGTTTGAGAACCTGTATGTGAAAATGAAGTGGATTTCCATATAGACACCATTTCATCTGATCACCATTAACTCTTTGCCAAGACACTTCACTGCTGCTTTGGTGTACTCTACAGATGTGTGTCTTAGTGTATCATACCTGAGCAGAGTCAGTTCTGCAGAGTGGAAAGCAACCATGAAGCAGTGCTGGAAAGCCTCTGAGCAAGTGCAGCATTTTCTGAGGGAATCAGACTGTTTTGGCTAAATAGCCGGGGTATTTTTTCAAGTTAGCATTGACCAAAGTTATGTCATTCTGTTTCACCAAGGAGGATCTTAAATATCTCAAAAGCACCTTTCATTAGCATAGATCCCAGAGAGTTACACACATTATATATAAGACAGATCATGTACCCAACTTCTATAGGAGAGCCAAGTAGTGATTTAACAGTGCACAGCAACAATAGTTTTTAGGAAGAGAGGTGGAGAATAAATTCTGTACTTCAGCACCTAGATAAGCGATAGGTGCTTTAGAAACAGGGAAGCAGAATGGTGTTACCCTCATTAGAATTTTCCCAAGATACGCTGTACACTCCCCACTACTCTTGTTTTAATGACAAGCAGCTAGGATCTCATTCATGCAGAGGCATTAATGCCATACTGACTCAGAGGGAAGAGCCAGAGCTGCTGAATCAACACTTCATGCAGCACTCCAGTTATCTTCAGCAGTTTCCCATCCAATGAGAAATATAAATTACTATTCTAAAAAAAAAAGCAGATTAGAAAATGATATCCAGCAACTGTGTGCTGGTGCCAAGCTACTCAGTGGTGTCTTGTTTGTGGAACTTGCCAAAAAGCCCTTTCACCACTCAGTTTTCATATTGATCTATAGCCAGTAGGTTCAATCCACTGTCTAGAAGTCACTTGTTAAATTTTTCAAAACCTGCTCTGAGAAATTATATTAAAAATAACGCCAAAGAAACTAAAAACTGCTTCGTGTCTTAATAGTGAAGTCTTCCCTCTGGTTTGTAGAGTGTATACTATAGAGGTTCTAGAACTGTAGTGTCCAACATGCTAGCCGCTAGCCACATGTGGCTATTTGGCCGGTTGAGCGTGGCTAGTTCGCTAAAGCAGTAGCCACTACAGTGCTTCTACAGAACTGGTTAGACACCACAGCTCTAGAAAGTTGTCCAAAATATTTTACAATGCAACAATCTGGCAATGTAATGTATTCTGAAATGGTTTCCCATCCTAACATCTGAAAAGTCTATTGGAAAAACATTGACAGAGCCTTAACCTCATACAGAAATAAGGTTCGTTCTCAGGACTCTGCACTTCTAGTGCATTTCCGTGGTATACAGGTCTTCTGTTGAGGACATGGAGACAGAGACAGTACTTGTCACACCTTCTCCACCCACCTCTCACCTTTGCGCTCTCGGATGAGAGCCAAGCGATGCTCCTTCATCTCCAAGTTCAAGTTTTCTACCATCCTGTCTATGCAGTTGTCCAGAACCAGGGATCGTGTCTTGGACTGTATCTCCCGCCTACAGATGGGACATTCCACTTTACGTTTCATCCATTCATTGATGCAATAGGAGCAGAAGCTGTGTGCACAGTTCAGAGTGACAGCCTGTGGAGGTCAGGAGGAAGAACATCATTAGAGTGTGCACACACTGAGACTGGGAGGAAAAATCCCTCTGAAACTAGCAAATCATCATATGGGCATTTCCTCTTAGAGAAAATATTACAGTGCCTTTCTTTAGTACCTACTGCCCAAACAACAGACAGTATTTAAGTAACAATCAATTCTCACAACAAGACAACATAGATAGAGATTATTCCTATTATTCAGATGGAAAATGGTAAATGAAGTGACTACACCCTAGATCACAGCAAATGTGTAGTACAAATGGGAAGAAAACCAAGAACTTAAAAATTCAAATCTTGTGCCTTAAACACTAGCCCATGTTTTCAATTTTAAAAAAGACAAGGTGTGGAGAGAGAGAAAAAGAGATGTTAATCATATCTCCTGAGGCACAACTCTATAATGAAACTAGATGGAGTATAATTTTCCAATTCTCAGACACCAGAATAAGGCCACTGTGTTCAAGTTTCCACTGCTATGAAGGAATTTCAGGCCTAATCTGAGTTGAGTGTCCCTTCTAGGATTACGGGGGGGGGGGAGGAAGAGTCAAATTCTACCCTTAGTCATAGTCATGCAACTCCAGTTAACACAACTGAATTATGTAGATGTAACTGACAATAGCTCAATTCTCAGCAAGGGGAGCAAAACACAAAAATGTTGGTCAATGTGAATATTTTCCTAGATGTAGAGAGAAAAAACTTAAAACCTCAACTTTGCTTTGATTTTTGAGAAATAACAAAAGCTTCTTAAATCCTCTCTCTTCCCAAGCAAAGCCATGTCAGCTACTGTACCTCAATAAAGTATTCAGAACAGATTGTGCACTGCAGCTCATTTTCCAGTACATCATTCATCTGACTCAAAACCTCCTCTTTTTGTGCTCTTGCCTTCTCTTTCTCCTCCTGTAAGGAATACATACGTGGTCACGTGCTGAGGAATAAAAAGTTTAATAAATAAGGGCGGGGTGGTGGAAAAAGATAGACACAGCACACAATCCCTGGGTTTTCTTGTCTCAGGCCTGCACTCTTTCTGTATAGAAAGGAGAGGAAAGACGTTTCAAATCAACAAAGGACAATCCTAGCCACTGCAGAGATAGATAAATTCAACAACTACTGATGTCCTGCTTTGGTGAAGAAGGTACAAGCTGAATCAGCCTTTCCAGAATATCTTCCAAATCTTTGCTAACTACTTATACTGTATTTCCTACAAGCAAAATTTCACTGCAGGATGAACTTGGCATAAAAGATCTAGGTCAGAAGAACTATTGCAGTGGCAGGAATAGAAAGCACTTGTTCAGCAAAAATGTTTCAAATGCAGAAGTGAAAAAAAATTGGGAATTTAAGATCACTTCCTTGCTCTTGTATGATTGCATAATCATGTATTGTATCATCATTGTATTGGATGATCGATACATGATGTGGAGTGAACTGATCACTGATTAACATGTAACTAGGCATCTGGTCTACCTCTTAAGTAAAATGGAGCTACATTTAGAACAACTTTAAGGCTGTGAGGGAACCAAAAGCCAAAGAAATGCAGCCAAAGATGGGAGATGCCATGACCTCCTAGAGTAGGCACAATAGGAATGTCTCCCTAGTCCTTTCCCTCATGCCCCTCTGCAGGAGACATGCAGAAATTAATTCAATTCCATTGCTGCATTCCACCCCAGATACAGTTTGCTGCAGTTTTAATTGTAGAAAGCAAAACTCTAGTTTTCCAAGTCATTCAGGTGGTAGCAGAACTTTTTTTTGAGGAAGGAAGATTGGGTCACTGCTCCTGCATGTTGTGCTATGTTCCTTTCCTCTGCACTCTCTCTCTGAGTTTGAGCATCCTCCACTAATGCCTGATCACAGTGACACTCCATGTAGGGAGCTTTCCAAGCAAAACATCTGATCCCTGCCATATGGAAAGCAGATTTCCACTGCTCCAGGCAATAGGAAGCTTTGAGAAAAGCACTGAACAACCTGTTTTCTACATGGAAGCAAATTGTGCTGCTCTTATAAGCAGAACAGCAAAATCAATTTCTGTTCAGTACCTTAGTTTCTTCCAATTCTTTATTCTTAGCTTGAATGATCTCTTCAAAATCCTTCTTGCTACGGCTCAGCTCATCCATCAGAGCACGATGCTGTGAAAATATAAATCCAGAGAGATTCTCATAAATTGCCCCAATGAAACAATGTAACATCTTACTCAGCTCACTGATTCTTGCTGTTTTACTGAATCAATACAATATGAGCACAACCCTAGGGGATCAAGGACTCCAATTACTTCTTTAGATGAGGAATCAGAAGAATCAGTCTTTTCTAAGCAAGTAAAATCTAGGCCACACGGTAACATACGACAGAAAAAGACTCAAGCACTAAGCAAACAGACTCCCAGTTAAAAAGGGTAAAACCTTTTTAAGTAACAATATATGAGTTAGTCACTGGATTCAGCATAGGTCAGAAAATACAAACCCAGTTTATCAAAAGTACATCTCTGGGGAGTTATAAATCATATCTCAGTTGTACCTCACTACACCAGGAAGTGGCACAGGGAATTTTGAGGCTCTCTCTCAAGTGGTTCCAAAATTACCAACCACTAGTGGGAGTGTCTCTTTGGGCTGAGGGTAATCAGGATATACATAGTTAGCATCTTATTAGGAACATAAGAGTTTAACCATTTAACCGATAAGCAAATGCTTATCGGTTACTGTTAACAGTTAACCTCAGCTGCCAGGATCCTGCCAATGGCCGGAAGTCCATGGCAGTAGGGCTGGCTGCTGGATCCCAGGAAAGAGGCAGCGCTTGAGAGCTCAGGGTTGGGGGGACCCCTTCAGGACCCTTCCCTCCCTACCGCTACATCCCCTAAAATGTTTAATAATATAACCAACAGAATTTAGATTGGTTACACTGTGAATGTTTTTGTATATTTTATACATCCCTACTTCTTACCCATACCAAAGGCCTTGTCTACAATACCACTTATTTCTGTGCAACTTATGTTGCTCAGGGATGTGAATGTTCCACACCTCTGAGAGCTGGCGTGGACAGCACTCATCTAGCCAGAGAGCTTTTCCCTCCAACATAGCCACTGCCTCTCACAGAGGGGGAGTTGTTATGCTGATGGGAGAGCTCCTTCGGTGACATATAGCATCTTCACCAGACATGCTGCATCTATGCCAAAGTAGAGCCTCTATCGTAGATGGGGCTTTGAGCCAAACAAAACATCTGGGTTCCTTTCTGGGAGGAGCAGACATGCTGCCTGCTTAGACCGCAGGACAAAGAGCAATGGAGACAAGAGCTGTCCCATTCCCATTCATTTACTTTGGTATTTAAATACAAAAACAGAAGAAGAACTACATTCCTCTATTTTGGCCACGGAGGAAAAAATATAAATAAACCTTTAGGACACTTTCTACTTAACCTGAGACTCCTACTGAGTTTGTTCACCTGCCCTATTGTCAGAATTTTTTGTACTAGTTAACCAGATTCAAGCAGGATGGAAACATATTTAGTTCTTCGAAGTCTGACATTTAAATATCGAGATAAGAGCCATAATACCTGGGTAATTTCACCACAGACATGGCATATTTAATAAGCTCCCAAAAGCTGACTGAAAGGAAGAGTTTTAATTTCAAGATGAAACTCATAGAAGTGACTTCCTAACACACATATGCTAATTATTACAAAGGGCTAGTCTGTCAGGAGCAAGGAAGCTTCTTCAACCTCTTGCCAAAAAGCTGAATATTAAGTCTGGGCTACATGAGATTCCAACACACTCAGAATGAAGGAAGGAAGTACTTGATAAACCTAATACTCTTATCTAAGTTCAACTTTTTTTTTGTAAAATGAATATATTTATTATTTCATTGTTAGGAGTACAAGCTGTGATGTTATCTGATTATAATATGACCATTCCAAAAAAAAAACCCCACAGTTATTCACCTTTGTAACTGTTGTTCTTTGAGATGTGTTGCTCATGTTGCATGAACAGATTGTCGGAGAGTTTTCCCCTAGTGGTACCCATCAGGCCAGCAAACCGGAAGTGGCGTCACCATAACAGCGCATATATACCCCCGCTGGCCCTCCACCTCCTCAGTTCCTTCTTGCCAGAGTCCTCCAATGCAGGGGAGGCAGGTGGGATGTGGAATGGACATGAGCAACACATCTCAAAGAACAACAGTTACAAAGGTGAGTAACCATTTTTTCTTCGAGTGCTTGCTCATGTCCATTCCATGTAGGTGACTCCAAAGCCAACCCCTAGGAGGAAGAAATAGAGCCTAGAGAGAGAGACTGCAAAACAGCCATGCCCACCACCGCATCCTCCCTGGCATGCTGCACTAAAGCATAATGGCTCACAAAAGTGTGCACTGATGACCAAGTGTCCACCTTGCAGATATAGATGACGGGCACCTGAGCCATAAAGGTGGCAGAAGACACATGGGCCCTGGTCAAATGGGCTGTGATCAGTGGGGCTGGGACCTGCGCCAGCTTGTAGCACTCTTTGATACAGGAAGTGATCCAGGATGAAATATGCTGGGCTGACACCAGCAGGCCCTTCATCCTATCAGCTATGGACACACATAGCTGTGGGGATTTACGAAAGGGTTTGGTCCTTACTAAATAAAAGGCTAAGGCTCGTCTAAAGTGTGCAAAGCCAGATCTGATCAAGAACTGTGAGGTTTGGAGTAAAAGATGAGTAGAAAAATGTCCTGATGGAGGTGGAAGTGAGACACCACCTTAGGCAGGAACGCCAGATGAGGACGAAGCCTGACCTTGTCCTTGAAAAAAAAAAACATGTATGGCGGGTTCACCGTTAGGGCCCACAAATCCGAAACCCATCTAGTGGAGGTAATGGCTACAAGAAAGGACACCTTCCAGGACAGATGCAGAAGAGAACACATAGCCAAGAGCTCAAAGGGGGGCCCACGAGCCTAGAGAGCACCAGGTTTAGATCTCGGGGCTACGCACCTGGGGGTAAACCCTATCCAATCTGCTAAGGAACCTGTGCACCTTTGGATCTGTGAAAACAGACCTACTCTGGGACTCTGAGTGGAAGGCCAAGATGGCCGCCAGGTGCACCTTTATAGAAGAGGGGGATCAGGCCCTGTGTTCTAACATCTAGGAGCTAATCCAAAATGGCTGGAACCAGTGAGAACCCCCTACCCTCTGATCAGAGTACGAAGCACTTCCACTTTGCCAGGTAAGAGGTCCTTGTAGAGGGTTTACAGCTTCCTAAGAGAACTGCCTGAACTTGGTCCGAGCACTGCCTCTCCAAGGCAGTCAGCCATGGAGCTGCTATGCCATGAGGTGCAGGAATTGGAAGTTCAGGTCCGGGTACAGAGGAAGAGCCAGGGGCTGCTCCACTGAGAGCTTGAGGATGGCCAGGAATCAATGCTGGGAAGGCCATGCTAGGGAAGCCTTGAACTCCCTGTCTCTGAGGATCACCTTGTGGATCAGGGGAAATAGGAGGAAGGCGTACAAAAGACCCTGTGGCCAGGGGATCATGAGCACAGCCTGCAGTGATCCCAGGCTGTGGTCACCCCCGCAAAAGTGGTAGCACTTCCAGTTGCCCCTGCACCACAATGAAACCTGGCAGTGGGTGAGAAAACAGGTGCTCATGCCCTGCTTATGGAACAAAGTACTTCCCCTCTGCCCTCTTATCTGAGGGTGGTATAGAAGCAGGCATTTGCCAGAAAGTCTTTGTGATTTTGCCAACCATCCTATTCAAGGGTAGGGTCACACGACAAGGGGCCTCTGAGTTCAGAATGTCCACTGTCGGATCTGAGTCCTCCGATACCCGCTCAAGTTGCACCCCCAAGCTCTGTGCCAGCCTCTTGACAAAGTTCCAGTGGGCCCGAGAGTCCACTGCTGGCATTGATAGGGTAGCCAGGCCCAAGGTCTCATCCAGGGAGGAAGACGAATACTCACGCACCATTAAGTCCTCACGCTCCTAAGGCTGCTCCGAGGCCTGAGATGGAGCCAGGTGGATTGAGGGGCCCTGCTTCCCGGCCATAACCAACAAGGGCCTAGGGACATGCCTCTGGGTCAACATCATGTGGCTCGATGCCAATGATTGGGGCAGCAGCGTGGTCGAGGGCAGCACCCGGTACCGAGTGCGAGGAGCCCTCAGTGGATGGGGCACTCCCCTGCGCCTGGTGGTAGGCCCACGGGGTCCAGAATGGCCATTGCTCTGGATGTTGCCACTGAGGTGGCCAGGTCTGCTGAACTGAGTGGCCCGAAGGACTGAGATGGCACGAGCGGTGCAGAGAGGAAGAACGATGCTGAGACATGGAGCAGCACCAGGACCAGGAGCAGCACCAGGAAGCCAAGGCCCAGGACCATTCCAACTCCTCATCAGAGTCTGAGAGTATTGGACTCCCACCATCGCGGTACCAAAGATGGACCTTGGAGGGGGTGCCAGGAGGAATGACGGATCATTGCTGCCAGCTTGCCCTGGTGCTGGATAAGCAGCAGGGGCATCAGATACTCTGGTGCTGGGGGTTGTGCCATCGGGAGGGGAGCATTGGAGGATGAACTCTCCCTTAACTCCCGATGCTGCCATCGGTGCCATGGACACAGCCAGTGCCAGAAGCAGCGTTGAGGTGTGCGCCGGTGAATGTAGCACCACATGTGCCACCGGGCCTGAGGTCATCGTTGGGGACCCAGCCAGTGCTGACCTTGACAATCGTCCACCCTTGTCTGGTGCCAACACCTCAGTACAGGCACGGCGATCCTGGTGCACCAAGTGGGGAGAGGGCAGATGTGAGGTAAGCTCTTATTAACTCACGGGCCATCTCAAAGGTGTTCACTGTGGAGGGCCTGTCAACAAGCACCGGCTCCTCCTCTGGGCTCTGCTTCCTGGCCATGCTCGACTGGCCACAGACGGGTTCAGGAGCAGCAGGCCTCGAGGCCAGCAGTGGCGCATCAGGGTGCCCTGACTGGAGGCATATCATGAGCACGTGCAGGGGTGACAATCTGCCCCATCTGCCCTCTTCTTCTTAGGGGACACCAGGGATTGAGAGCGGTACCAGGTGGAAGGGCGTCTCAACACCGTTGAGGCCCTGGAGGAGGCACCGATGCCGTGTGCTGCAGGAGGCTGGTGCCATGTCTGCGACTGGTACTGGTCAGAGCGCCAACTCCATTAAGAGTATTTTGAAGCACAAGTTTCTCTCCTGCTGGGTCTGGGGCTTGAAACTGCAGCAAATCTTGCAGTTTGCCGGGATGTGAATCTCACATAGACACTTAAGGCATGAATCATGTGGGCCCCCACAGGGCATAGGGTTTGTGCAGCTCATGCAGGGCTTGAAGCTGTGAGGGCCTGATATGCTCCCAGACAGGAGGCAACTGGCAAACCCCAACCCAACAGCAACAATAACGAAGACTATAGCAACAACTTAGAAACAAACTACTAGGGAAAGCAACTTGGAGAAACAATGGGACTCAACTAGATGCTGCTAACTGTGAATACTGCTGGGACCATGCTTGAGAGCAAGTGAGATAAGAGCTCCAACAACCATCACAGGCGGTAAGAAGGAACTGAGGGGGTAGAGGGTCAGCAGGGGTATATATGCACAGTTATGGCTCCCCTGCTAGCCTGATGGGTACCACTAAGGGAAAACTCTCCAACAATCTGTGCACGCAGCACGCACACCTAAGTGGAGCGGACATGAGCAAACACTCAAAGAAGAAACACAGTTGCTACAAGGGATAGAAGAGTGTAATTAGGTAACTGGTTAACCGACCACTTATTGGCACCAGTTACACTCTTCATAGGGCTACTGCAGAGGTGAGGAACCTCAGGCCCAGGGGCTGGCTTACCTGGATCCAGCCCTCAAGGCTCAGGGACCTCCTCAGCATTGGGGAGCCAGCGCTGGCGCTCCAGTCCCCCGGTTAGCCCACCACAGGGCTAGAGCTCACAAAATCTACTAAGCTGGGCCCCCCTAGGCTCTAGTGTGGGAGGGGAATGTGGGGAGTGTCTTTCTCCTTCTCAGTCAGGGGCCATGTCAGTGAGGGGTGGTTTGGGTAGTTTTGCTCCTCACTTGTGTGAAGCCCCCAACTGATTTTTCTGTGCGTCAGTGGCTCCTGACCCAAAAAAGGTTCCCCATTCCTGGTCTACTGGATCCTTGGCAGTCCCAGAGACCACACAGGGTCAGGAGCCTCAGCAGCTACGCAACCCCAGGAGCCACGGCAGCCCCAGGAGCCCTGCAGGACTGGGAGCTGAGCCACAATTAACTGTGTAATTTTTTTAAGTTTTTACATCCCTAGGTACTACCATGGTTATATAATTGCAACAAATCTTATGCCAAGTCTGACACATGAGCCAGAAAGAGTTAAACATCCTGCCAGTTAACTGACCCAGAGTCAACCTGTGTGCAGCCCCCAACTTTATGTCTTTATGTTTAGAGACATAAACATGAGGAGTCCTGTGGCACTTTAAAGACTAACAGATTTATTTGGACATAAGCTTTTGAGAGTAAAAACCCACTTTGTCACAGCATTCCAGCTTTGGGAGGGAGAAGGAGTGGAGACCGAACACAAATTAGGCGAGGAAGAGGAAGTGCGGGGCTCAGGTGCCCTAGTGCATGAAAGAAGCGTGGGGGCCGACAGAGGAGCTGCAGGCTGCACGTGCAGCCCGAGTGAGCTCCAGGTTGCCCACCACCGAACTATACGCATATCTGTATGTATATTTATCTTTTAACTGAAACTCTTTACATAAGAACATAAGCACGGCTGTATTGGGTCAGACCAAAGGTCCATCTAGCCCAGTATCCTGTCTGCTGACAGTGGCCAGCACCAGGTGCCCCAGAGAGGGTGGACCGAAGACAATGATCAAGCGATTTGTCTCCTCCCATCCTTCTCCAGCCTCTGACAAACAGAAAGAGTTGAGCATCCTGTCAGTTAACTGACCCAGAGTCAACCTGTGTGCAGCCCCCAACTTTATGTTTAGAGACATAAACATGAGGAGACAATTTATTCTTTAATAAATTGTAGTTTAATTAATAAAAATTGGCTATAAGTATATATTTGGATAAGATCTGAAATATTCATTGACTTGGGTGGTAATGTGCTCGATCCTTTGAGATTGGTAGAACTTTATTTGACTTGGGGGCTTGGAAGAAATCTAAGGCTGGGTTGCTTTAAGGGAACTGTATTGTTGGCTTCTGGGTAACCAGTAAGGTATCATGGAGCCTGTTTTGTGCTGGTTTGATAATTTGGTATTGGAATAAGCACCAGCTTTGAGGATTGGCTGTCCCATTCTTTTCAGTTCACCCTAATTAAGGGACTTCAGCTGGCTTCTCCGGGGCCTGTTATCACAAGCCCTCTAGTCTTGCTGAACAAATGACTAACTAGAACATAGATGAGGTAATATCTTTTATTGGACCAACTTCTGTTGCTGAGAAATCAAGCGACTGGGTTACACAGAGCTTTTTTTCAGGTTGTTGAAAAGATACTGCAGTCCGGTCTACATTAGAGACCTGTAATGGTATCTGTCACTCAGATATGTGACAAATACACTCCCCTGAATTAGGGGAGGGATAGCTCAGTGGTTTGAGCATTGGCCTACTAAACCCAGGGTTGTGAGTTCAATCCTTGCAGAGGCCATTTAGGGATTTGGGGCAAAAATTTGTCAGGGATGGTACTTGGTCCTGCTGAGAAGGCAGGGGACTGAACTCAATGACCTTTCAAGGTCCCTTCCAGTTCTAGGAGATAGGCAATCTCCATTAATTTAACCTAACCCCATGTGTACACAGCACTATGCCTGTGGGAGAGATTCTCTAGTCAGCACAGCTAGTGCCTCTCAGGAAGGGTAGAACAGTGGTCTCCAAACTTTTTACCTTGAACCTCTTATCCCATCTGTGCTCCCCCATCCCCAGCCAGAGCCAGGAGTGGGGCCATAGCTACAGGATGGAGGATATTGACAGGGTAAGGTGGTGAAGTCTGGGCCCAGAGCTAAGGATGGTAATGAGAATGAAGTGTCAGCCAGGGGTCAAAGCCAGTAGCCACGGTGCCAGGCTTAATGGGTTACAGATTGTTGTAATAAGCCATAAATCGAGTATCTTTATTTCTACTTTTAGAATTTAAGCCACTAGCTTTGTCTTTTGTCAGTGTTGTGGAGGTTTCCTTTGAAGATGACTAATAGGTTAGAGTGACTGATTTGTGACATGGTGTTTTGTCTAATCATTTTCCTGAGTGAGTTCTTTCAAAACCATAGTAATTATCTGGTTTCACACACGTAGTTGAGATAGTTAGGGCTTGTCTACACTGGCAAGTTACTGCACTAAAACTTTCTTGCTTAGGGTTATGGAGGGAAAAAAAATCACCCTCTCCCCTGAGCACAGCAAGTTTCAATGCTGTAAAGCACCAGTGTAGATGGGCATAGCTCCCGGAGCTGGGAGCTCTGCCCCTTATCAAGGAAGTTCAAGTTCTGGGAGTACTTTCTTCAGCACTAGTGCACAACCATATTGTCTGGTAAGTGGGGATGTCAAGAGGTGGATATTTAACTAATCGAGTAATTGATCATTCTGGTAGCAGCCCCTACCCCCACTCCACTGTTGCCTCTGATAGAGGCAGCAGCAGGGCAGGCGGAAGGGGTGGCACCATGGATGGTGCTGGGGGGAGGGATATGCTGATACAGAGGCAATGGGAAGGGGAGGGAAATGCAAGTAGTCAACTACTCCCTTACATCCCTATTGGTAAGTGTAAGTGTGTGAAGAATGTGTAGGACTCATGGATCTTGAAGGCACAGGAGGTGGACAACAGCTGTGCATCTCTCTTTTTCACTGATAAGGGGGCAAATTTTATACAGAGTAAAGCAGATTAATCTGGAGTTCTGGTCCCATTGGGGCTGTGCACCTGGGTGCTGTGTCAAGTCTCTTTGACTGAACCTTCCCAGAGCTGACCTGATCTCGGTGTCTGTGTTGCTCTGCTGTGAGCTGACCCCCCAACTCTCTGCCATCGCTGAAGGAAACCAGAGGATCTGGCTCAACAGGACAGGGTAGCGGGGTACTCCCCAGAAGACAGATGGGCACGCTCAGTGGTATTTCAGCACATCAAGTGACAGTCTCCATGGGATCTCTGTGACCAAAACCCCTACACCAGGAACTGGCTTTCTTATATTTTGGAGCTGTGAAATCGACCAGAATGACAGCCAACAGAAGGAATGCAGGATCTACACAGACCCCGCATCTCCTAACTACACTGACATACGTCTATCTCCATGAGAGACATATGGTTTATATCAGTGTAGTAAGACTCTTACATTGGCAGGCTGCAGTGAAAATGCTGACATAGCTAGGCCAACATAAGGTACATGATGTCAATCTAACGTACTGTAGACCAAGCCTTACTATCTTTCCTGGACCTAAAGAAGAGCTCTGTGTGGCACAAACTTTTGTCTCTCTCATCAAAAAGAATTTGGTCGAATAAAAGATATTACTTCAGATAACTTGTGTCTCTAATATCCTGGCTACAACACTGCATGAAAATATCATGAGATGTGCCAATAAAAGCTGATTTAGAAAAAATGAAAGCAGCAGCTAGAGATGAAACAGCTAGCTTATAAAAAGCCAATTAGGAAAGGCTTAGGCAGCTAAGGTGTTAAATACTCATTACATTTACCTAAAGCTTTTGAGTTGTATTTGGATTTTAGTGTAGTTTTGCTCTTTTTCCACGGTATTTCTGTTTGCCAATTTTCATGGAGGGTTGGACCCGTCACCTATATCACAGAGATGAAAAAAGCTGCAATCTGTACTGGAAAGACAGTCCTGGGATCCTGAACAGCTGCGAGAATAGCAGGCAAAATTTAGGTATTCCCCACATTACACAGCTGGACCACACCTAGCTCTGTAATAAGTTACCTCCTGCAGAACCTGGGCCAGTTGCTCCTTCAGATTCTCTTCGCCTTGCTGCTTCTTCACTCCCTGAAAAAATAAGACATGAGAGTTTTGGTGGGGGAAAGAGAAGTGATTATGGAACCAAAGTAAGCAAAATACAGAGATCAGGAACAGCTAGAAGAGGGGTAGTCAATTATTTTTGTCAAGGTATGGTCAAGGTCCAGACTTCACAGAAAATATGTATTATTTTCAACAACTAAGGGGCTGCACCCCCTTCTCATTATGTTCACCAACCCTGACAGCTTTCGCAGGCAAAGAGCGCGATGACATCATTCTGTCGCCTGGTGGCGGGGATGTGAGAGTGGGCTGAGGGTGCGGGCTAGGAGTGCAGGGTCTTGGCATGGGGGTATGAGTGCGAAGGATGAGGGTGCAGGGTCTTTGCAGGCTGAGTGTACGGGATCTTGGCGGGGGGCTATGAGGGTGCAGGTTCTCGGCTTGGGGGAGCATAAGCGAGGCTGGAGATGTGGGATCTCAGCAGGACAGTGAGGGAGAGGACTGGGGGTGTGGGATCTTGATGTGGAGATGTATGAGTAAGGGGGCTGAGGGTGCAGAGGGCTCAGCAGGGCAGTGAGTGAGGGGGATGGAGATACAGGGTCTCGTCAGGGTGGTGAGGGGGGGGCAGGGTCTCAGTAGGGCGGTGAGTGAACAGGCTAGGGGTGTGAGGTATCACTGGAGGACCTGAGTGAGGGGGCTGGAGGTGCAGAGTCTTGGCTTGCGGAGGTGTGGGGGGCACTTACTTGCTTTCACACCATTGCCATTACTGCCTCTCACTGCTCCTATTGGTCAGATTCCAGAGCGGCAGGGAAAGGCTCCAGGAAGCACATGCCTGCATTGATGTCCCCCCTGCCGGGAGAAGGGAAGCAGCAGCATGCACTGTGGCTTCCTCCCCACAAGCTGGATCTGGCAGGGAGCCTCGGGGCTTTCTCCCTCACCCCCACGCTCCGCAGGAAGCTGGCTCTGGCGCTCCTATCTTTGGGTGGGCTGCAAGAGACACTTGCCTTGTGGAGGGGGCTCATCAAGTAGGTGCGGGAGGGCGAGGGGGAAGAGTGGGGGCTGGCCGAGGGAGTGCAGAGAGGTGGGCTCAGGTATTGAAGGCTGGTGCAGCCTGCTGGGGCACAAGCTGGCTGGCTCAGGGTACTCTGGCCTGTCAGGAGCCAGGTTCTCAGCTGGGGCTGCGAGTGCAAGGAGGCAGCTGACCCTGCCCTGAACAGCTGCACTGACATTCAGGGCTGGCAGCCCCGTTCTGCCGCAACTCTCCCCAGTTTTGCATGAGTTTGAAACTTTACTGTGGGAGTCAACTCTGCTGCGCCTCCTGGTAGCTGGAGAGTGAAAGTTGGTGATGCTAATGACGTGATGACATAATTCTATAGTCCAGCAGGAAAAGTTTGTTTTTATAGCGAGAGAGAAATAAAGCCAAAAAAAGATTTTGGGATTAATTCAAAAGCATATATGGCAGTCTGGATTTGGTCCCTGGGTTAGAGGAACAGAGAAAGAAAAACTCCTGTTTTCTCTCATGTGAAAAATGAATAAATTAAGGAAATGTTGCCAACGTAATGCAAACCCCCAGAAACTCTCTCACCTTTACTGCTCCCCTGGCTCTTGAATGATCAGAACCATCTAAACTTACATATTATACCTCCTTGTAGACAATATCCTTCAATGTTAAATAACTGGAGCATCTCCAAGTTACTTTAGCTTTAATCGGACTAAAATGTTCACAGGACAGAGAAAGGGAAATAATAGGCCAGTGGAGAAACAGCAAAGTTTTAACTCCATTTAGGAACACATCTAAAAAAAAATAAAGCTACCACACTACTGTAGACAATTCCCATTGCTGCTTTGGCTCTCCCAGCATGGTCAAAGAGTGAGAATTTCTTTTCCAATCCACTTTCAAGTCAATGCTCTCTTGTTTTCAAACATACTGGTACTTGTTAAACTCAAGTAGAGAGAGACAGAGAACAGATCTTTAAACAAAAAATCTGACAGCTAGCTATTTAGTTATGCCAGAGTGAGTGCCTTGTGAAGGAAACCCTATTTACAGGTAAGGAAATTGCCCTCCTTGCACTTCATTCATTAGCCAAACGGGATCAATAGAAGTAACAGTGCCAACTGATCTTCCTGCTTGAGTAGGAAAGGGCTTCCAATGCAAATCAGTCATGACTTGGTAACCTATATCTAGAGATAGAAGAGAAGTTCATTCTATACGACCTGTTCAACCTTTGTTCTCTCAATAGGGTTGCCAGATGGTTGAAACAAAAATACCTAACACCCCTCCCCCCAAGCATTGCTTCCCCTAGGTCTTTTGGCCGGCAGCCTTGGGGAACCAGGTAAGCATGGGGCCTGGAGGTGTTGGGGGCCAAGGGGGGGGGAGGCAGGGCGCTGAGTGTTTGTAGGGTTGCCAGGTTCCCAGCATTTTTGCCTCCTGGCCAGGGAAAAATTCAGAAAATACCGGTCATCTCAGGTGTCCAGTATTCTCTGAATTTATTTTACCGGGCAGGAAGCGAAAATACCGGACACCTGGCAACCTTCTCTCTCAATAACCACAAGGGAGGACACAAACAATTTCACACACAGCTTTTAGATGGCAATAATGCATTTGCTATCAATTTGTGTTGAACCTGCCTTTGAGGTTAAACCCCATTACTAATATCTTACCTAGTCTAGCCCCTATTGTTCCTATCCATTCTCTATGTCCATACAAATCTGCTTACCTCCAGGAGCTGCTGCTGCTCCTCATAGAATGTCCTCTCCAACTGTTCCACCCTCTGCTGCTGATGTTCCTGTTCAGTGCACAACTGGTTCTGCAATTCCTGCAGCTCCTGTTCCATCACCTTGATTTCTTTTTGACCAGACTTCCTGCTCTTCCTCACACTCAAAATAGCTGTCTTCTTCTCCTCCATCTTGACTTTCAGCTTCATTATATCACCGAGGGTTTTCCTCAGCATTTCCAAACCAGTCCAAGACTGTGCCAGACTAGAGGCTTTCTGGTCCTTATGCCTAAGAGATACAGCTTTCTCAGAGTTCACAGGAATACAATACATTGGAGCGTCATCCTCCTCCATGCTTGGTCCAGGAGAAGGTAGCTTGACATCCATGTTTTCTGTTTGTTGTTTGGCCAGTTCTGCCCTTTCCTGTGATTTACTCAAAGGTTCACTATCGCAGGACACTCTGTCCCTTTTAGATCGGGAATCTGAAGGGCCTTCTGCTCCAGATGCTTCCGATTCCTCCAAACTAAGCTTACGTTTAGTTCTTGCACCCTTAGCTTTCCCCATCACTTGGTCATTTCTTGGAGCTAAAAATGGGCAAACTTTCTCCCATTCTTCCTTAATCACTTCATACTCATATTCAGCAGTCTCTTTGTTATCCAAAGGCACTCCTAGTTGAATATGGTCTCCTTCACCTATTGTGTAGGCCTTGAATGGATCAAGACGTTCCTTATTCAGCCAAACACCATTTAGACTCTGAAAACAAACAGAAATCAGCAAAACTTATCAATGTACATTTAAGTTAACTCCTTCACAAGGTATTTTTGGTTGTTGCAAACATAGCCTACCTTTTCAGAAAGACTATTGTCACAGTAATTCAACAAATTGTCTAACTAGCTTTTGCACAACCCAGACAATTGAACCAGTGTCCCTTTTTCATGTATGTATAAACCCACTAGTAAAGGTTTCTTTCTACAAAGGCTAGAAATAAGTTTGATTTAGGCAACCCCATGGAAAAAAGGAATAAACTATCTAAGGTGCCTTTGGATGGTTTAAACAAGAAATAGTGGTCCGAAGCTTAATGAGAAATGCTTGGATGAGCCCCTGGGAAAGAATTTGCAACAGAGAAGTCAATGAGACATTGGAATTTGTCAGGAATATTTATCTGGGTACATCACCAAGATTTCAGAAAGGAGATTAAAGGGACTAAATGTATACAAGAAGAAAAAACAGAGGAGAAAAGGTAAACCAGTTCTGTATAAATGGAAAGAAAAACAAAAGACGACATCAGAAGATGTGTAAAATGTAGCAATGGTTTTATACTGAAAAGAGAGCTATGTTAGATTGGACACCAAGAGAGGAAAGCATCCTAGCAATAAGAACAACCTGATAATTGAACTGTTCTAAGTACAGACTTTAGGGTCCTCAGCAATGGAAGTATTCCAAAGAAATATGATAACAAGCTTGAGGGAATAGTAGAGGTGATAAGATGCAGCAAGAAGTTAACCCTCATGACTTTGTATAACAATTTCCAAACACTGCTGCAGACTTCAGGACTAGAACTTCAGACTTACCATATTGGTGTGACTGACAATTCTATCCCTATCTTAACAAGGAATCTCTATTGCCCCCAATGAAGAGAAGGCAATACAGCCAATAGCATTGCCATGGATGACTGGTATTCCCCAGAAAGACTGGACACCCAGATTTAGAAAGCATCTTCCTACTCCAACTTTTAAGAAACTTTGGAAATCAGTCTAAAACAAAAGGAAAAACTATGTAGCACTTTAAAGACTAACAAGATGGTTTAATAGGTGATGAGCTTTCGTGGGCCAGACCCAATTCCTCAGATCATATTCTGAAAGAGAATTGGCATGACCATATATACCAAAGGAATACAATAAAAAAAGTGAACACATTATTAACTTGACAAATCAGATTTAGAACAGAAGGTGGAGCAAGGAAAAGGGAGGGAGGGAATAGCTGTTTATAAGTCAATGAATGGCTAATCAGGGATGATAAGTGGGGAAGCTGTCTTTATAATGTGTAAGGTAATTAGCATCTACGAATGGGCTTAAAGATGCTAATGTTTTTGTCTGTTTTTTCTGTCAATTAAAGAGGGTGAAATTTACATCTGAGGAAAGAAAACTATAGCTAAAATGGTAAGAAGGTGTATATGAATGTGGAATTGGAGAGAGGAGAGGGAGTTTTTGTTTAATTTTTGTTGCATGTCTCCAGGGGGTGCATGCAAGCTCACAAGTCACACTGCAATGATTGCAGTAAGTGATCTTCTATTCCAAGTACACCACCACAACTTGTTGGGACTACGTGCAGGAGACAGGGGACTGCTGGTAGGCATAAGGGATCTTTCCATTTAAAGTCATTCCTCTCACCCAATTTCACCTCCAAAATAACCTGAAGCTGTTGACTATTAGGGCATGCTGTAGAGCCAATCTCTTTTCCTAGCTCTCAGGGAGGGCCTCTTGGAGCTAGTATTTGTAGATAGAAGATTGGTATTTTCAGGTTTTACTTTGTTTTTACATGTTAAAAATACAAAGCATTTAAAGTCTTGGCTATGTACTTTGTATTACGTGCATCAAAACAAACAAGATTAAATTGTTAATAACACTCACTGTACGTTTTCTAGTGCCTCCACCTGCTCGTGACCTTACAACGGAACCCTTTAAAAGTCAGCTTGTACATTCCAAATGTTACATCTGTCTGATTTTCAATCAGATGCCTGAATTTAATAATTTTCCATCCTGAAGTAAAGTGTGGGAAAGGGACTTGAATTAAAAGGGACAAGCAATTTGCCACAGTCAGCAAATGAGCTATTGGGGGAGTGGTTTAGAACTCAGCTCTCCATCCTTTACTATAGCCAAATAATGATGCTGTGTTTCATGTCACCCAATGGAATTAAAGTCAATTTCATGATTGGAAACCATCTCCAATTTTAGTTTATTGAAAGTAAATTATTGGTGTTCCATTACAGTATCAGCTACCAGTTTGGCATTTAATTAACATTGCAAGAGCAGTATCCTTTTTAAGAATACCAACCTTCATAGTTATTCTTTCCACAGCAAAGTTCACAGACCAGTACTCAGGACCAATACTCCCCACAACATTTCACTATCTAATAGCATCAAAATGCTTTATCAAAGAAGCTAAAAACATAAATAAATCTAAGTCAATATTCTAGATCTCAACTAAGGTAAGTTCCAGATTCAGGGCAAATAACTAGAAGCAATGTTCCCATAGGTCTTTTATCCAAGTTATACTACACTGTATTACAGCATGACTCAAGGGTATCGATTCTTTGTAACTATGACCCTGCAGCTACTCAGAGACAGCTCCCAAATGGGAAGTCATCTTTATACCTCTCAGTGCAATTGAAACTCCATTCAATCTCAGTACCTTGTTGTCCGTCACTGTCCACTGGCCTTGTGCATTCTGTTTGAAAGCACAGTGGTAACGAGAGATCATCAGTGGGCAGGTTTTTGAGACCAGCTGGTAGGTGAGACCAAATCCTCGACCTACAGTTACCTAAAGACAAAAACAGTTTGATAGCCACTATGAGCAATAATACAGAAAGAGTGATCTATCTCCTTTTGATTTTAAATACAGTAAACTAAACATTTAGGATGAATTAGCACTCTACAAGAGTTCAAAGAAGGGATGTGAAAAAGTGTAACCATGTACACAGTTAACTGATGAGCCTGGGCTCATCAGTTAAGATTCATGATCACACATAGGCCTCCAGTATGCATAGGGAGCTGGTTTAAAAGCAAGCTCCTATATCCGAGGCAGCAGCGCAGGGCAGCATAAAGGAGCCGGTACACAACCTAAAAGCCAGCTTCCGATGCACACCAGCTCCTGGGTAGCCAACTGCCCTCCCACACGGCTTCCTCTGATACAGAATCAGCAGCACAGAGAGGCTAAGCTGGCTCCCCACGCGCAATGGCTCCTGGGAAGCCGCCTGTTGTCCTGCATGTAACCACGGACATTTTCAGCAGTTACATGGTTACTTGATTACACACATTTTAACATCCCTAGTTCAAAGCAATAAGTTTAACACTAAACACACTAGGGATGTAAGTGACTAGTCAAGTAGTCGATTATCTGATAAGTCTAGGCTTATCACAGGAGCTGGCCACCTATGGCTCACTTAGGAGCCAAATATGGCTTGTGCTCAGCCCTCACCCCATCCCACCCCACAATGGGGAGCCCATGCTGGTGCTACAGCCTCACGTCACTGCTCCAATCTTGTGAGGAGCACCAGACCTACAAACGGCTCCGCACGTGCTCCCCTTTCCTCTCCTCCTCCCCTGGCTTGAGGAACAAAGCAGCAGTAGGCTCGCTGCCTGCAGGCTTTTCCTGCTGCTGCTCCATTGCCCAGAATCTGGCCAATGGAGGAACGGAAAGCCATGCCTGAGACAGGGAGCTTGAGAGCAGAGCGGGGGGCAAAAGTAGACCTGGCCGCCATCTTACCCGTGAAAGACCCAATGCTGCCATGGCCATGTCCCTGCTACTCAGCGCACTGCTCTGTACCCATCTCATACCACCCACACACACCATGCTCTCATGCCCGCAGGACAGCCTCGTGGGGCCACTGGAATCCATCATCATTGGCAGGGCTTGACAAACCACAGCAAAATCTACTCGCCAGCCCCGCACTGCACGTGCGCCAGATCTGCATTGCACATGCGAGCGCCGCCAGTGAACGGGACGACAGGCTGAAATCTACTCGTCATGGGCGAGTAGATTCACTGGTTTGTCGAGCCCTGATCATCGGCCTCCTGAGCACCTTCTTCCTGGTGCCAGTGGGCTGGATCCTGGCCAGCCTGCCTGGACCCACCAGCCGGACTCTCTGCATTCCTGACAAGATGCAGCCTCCACTCCACACTCAGCTCTTGGTCTGCTGATTTATTCCATGACCCGTGTGGCTGGCTGCCACATGGGAATGACTGTTACAATGAATAAACCCTGTTCCAGACACTGGGAAAAAAAACCCCTAAGTGCTGCCTAAGCCCTGCACCACCCCCCCACGCCAAGAACCTGCACCACCAGCCTGCTCCTGCTACACCCCTCCGCCCCTGACCAGACACCCACATGCACCCTGCTTCTTCCCTCTCTCACCTGGCCAGGCACCCACCTGCACCCTGCTCCTGCACCCTACTTCACATCCCTAATAGGGATGGGGGTGCAGGATTTGGGTGAGGACTAGTCACTTTCCCACCTTGCTGCCTCTATCAGAAAGAGGCAGCGGGGGGGCTGCTCCAAGGTCACCTCGGGACTCCCCCACTGACCCTGGGATCCATGCAGTGCTGCCACTTTGAAACGTCGCAGGGAGCATGGAGCCAGTGGGGCACTGCTTGAGTCCCCCACTGGCCCTGTGCTCCCCTCAGCACTTTTGCCTTTGAACAGCCCTAGGGCTGCTGCTACATTTCAAAGGCAGAGGCACCCTTAGCGACTAATCAAATAGTCGACGCAAATTGCATTGACTATTCAATTAGCCAAGTAATCGACATTGTACATCACTAATCTCTATCCCACTTACGGGCCGCGCTGTCTCACACACTAGATCCCTCATTTTTGGCCCCACCCCAGAGCCATGGAGGGCCCACAAAATCCACTGGAATCTCAGAAGAGTTAATCTGACCTCAGGCCTTGAACCTCAGTCCTCCTGACCCCTCCCCGCAATGGGGCTGGAGCACCAGGGGAGTGAGGTGTCTCAGTTGAGAGCCACATCAGTGAAGGTTGGGTGTTTTTAGAGAGGCTGGATTTTTGCTTGTCACTTGTGCGGTCCCTGACTGACTTTTCTGTGGGTCAGCAGCCTCTGGCCCAAAAAAGGTTCCCCACCCCTGCCATAAATAAAGACAATCTTGAAACCATATGCATTGGGCATAATATGTTACTTTATTTAAAAATGAAGCCTGGCCAACAAGCCCCCAACAGGGGCCCAGCCCCCATCTGGCCACAGCCTGATAACACTCCTGGCACCCCCGCATATCCCAACCCTGAACCCATCATACACCTGAATCTCTGCCCTGAGCACCTCATATACCCACATCCCCAAACACCTGAACCCCCACATTCCCAGACTCCTGCCATAACACTTCTGCACCCCCCAAACAACCCAACCCTGTGCCCTGAGCCCATCATACACCTGAATCCCCAGCCCTAAGCCCTTCATACCCCCCACTCCCAAATTCCTGCACCCCCCACATCCCCAGACATAAGATGGACAGAAGACAGCCTGAATGCGTGCATGAAGCTGGATTTCACCAGTTATGATGTAAACTTAAAAGAAATGTGCAAAAAGATGCAGCAACAGAAGTCCCATTAAATAGTCTGTCAGTACACCAACCCTGAACCCATCATACACCTGAATCTCTGCCCTGAGCACCTCATATACCCACATCCCCAAACACCTGAACCCCCACATTCCCAGACTCCTGCCATAACACTTCTGCACCCCCCAAACAACCCAACCCTGTGCCCTGAGCCCATCATACACCTGAATCCCCAGCCCTAAGCCCTTCATACCCCCCACTCCCAAATTCCTGCACCCCCCACATCCCCAGACATAAGATGGACAGAAGACAGCCTGAATGCGTGCATGAAGCTGGATTTCACCAGTTATGATGTAAACTTAAAAGAAATGTGCAAAAAGATGCAGCAACAGAAGTCCCATTAAATAGTCTGTCAGTACAATGTTTCATTTATGCTGTCATTAATCATGCCAATTATCAATAATATTAAGTTGTCTATTTTCAGTCATGCAAGTGGACATTCTTATATGGCTCTTTGTTGATCACTTGTTCTGAATTTTGATGTAGTTTAGCTCCTTGGTTTGAAAATGTGGCTGACCCTCAGCTTACAGGGTAGTCAAGTCACTACTCAACTATTTGCTTACCCCCACCCTTTGCTGCCCCTCTGTATGAGAGGCAGCAAGAGGGCGGGCAGGAGCCGGTGATGGGCGGAGCAGACTTAAAAGCTGGTTCCTCCCAGCACCGTCTCCCCAGGGGCCCGCGGAGGCAGAGGCCCAGGGGGGACCAGGTCCCAGACACAGTGCCTCTGCTTTTGAAATGTAGCAAGAACCTGGCAGCTCTCACCACACGTAAGCAGCAGCGGCGCAGCAGCCCCACTCGGCTAATGGAGTAGCCCATGGAAAGTCCAGACAGAAGACAGCCTGAATGCGTGCATGAAGCTGGATTTCACCAGTTATGATGTAAACTTAAAAGAAATGTGCAAAAAGATGCAGCAACAGAAGTCCCATTAAATAGTCTGTCAGTACAATGTTTCATTTATGCTGTCATTAATCATGCCAATTATCAATAATATTAAGTTGTCTATTTTCAGTCATGCAAGTGGACATTCTTATATGGCTCTTTGTTGATCACTTGTTCTGAATTTTGATGTAGTTTAGCTCCTTGGTTTGAAAATGTGGCTGACCCTCAGCTTACAGGGTAGTCAAGTCACTACTCAACTATTTGCTTACCCCCACCCTTTGCTGCCCCTCTGTATGAGAGGCAGCAAGAGGGCGGGCAGGAGCCGGTGATGGGCGGAGCAGACTTAAAAGCTGGTTCCTCCCAGCACCGTCTCCCCAGGGGCCCGCGGAGGCAGAGGCCCAGGGGGGACCAGGTCCCAGACACAGTGCCTCTGCTTTTGAAATGTAGCAAGAACCTGGCAGCTCTCACCACACGTAAGCAGCAGCGGCGCAGCAGCCCCACTCGGCTAATGGAGTAGCCCATGGAAAGTCCATCGACCAGTCAATTAGCGTGTCAGCCGCGGTTCAACAGCCCCCAGCCGCACACCCCGTTACTACAGGTTGCACCTCTGCCGGCTGCTGCTGCTG